CAGCCTGTGCAAAGGCCCTGAGGCGGGAGCACGGCATGTCCAGGCCAGAGACAGCCTGTGCAAAGGCCCTGAGGCGGGAGCACGGCATGTCCAGGAAAAGCAGCTAAGGCCAGTGTGGCCAGGGCCTGGTGGGCCAGAGGTGGGGGCACCGAGGCAGTGGGAGAGGTCAGCAAGCTGCCCAGACCACAGAGCCCTGAGGAGAATCTCATCTTTATCGCAAGAGTAGAGGGAGCTGCTAAAACTATGGCACCGGCAAGGGATGCCAGGAAGGGACCTTTAAGAAGGCACAGTGGAGGTGACAGTGGACACACAAGGGCCAGCTGGGGAGCAAGGATGGTGCCAGGACCGGGAAGACGGACCAGCAGAGAGGCCCAAGAGATAGAGAGGAGGGAGAGTCAGCAGGACGCTGCTGGAATCCAGGGGGGCAGGATGGCTCAAGGGAGGGTTGGGGGTGCCACCCGCCCAGGTGGGAGCCCTGCGGAAGGAGCTGTCCCCCCACCTGGGCCACGGGATGGGTCTCCTCCACTTTGGCAAAGTCCTCTCTGTCCTCTAGGTGTGAGACCCCACACGGCATCTGAGGGAGGTCTGTCCTGGACACCTGCTCCTGCCTCTTAGCTCGTCCAGCCCCCCAGGAGCAGTGACCAAAACTTCCTGTCCATCTGTATGTCCCACCCAGCTGTGGACTCTTTGAGGTCCAGGGCAGGGGGGACACCTCTGCAGGAAGCCCTGCCCCAGGAGGGTTGGGTGGCCTTTCTGAATGAATACAGGGAAGGACCTCCACAGAGGGGGGGCCCTTTCTGGGTCTCCAGCACGGCCCAAGTCCCTCCTGGGCCTGCCTCGTGAGGCCATGGTAATCCAGCCAAGCCATCCTCACACCAGCCTCCCACCAGGCAGCCCTTCCCTCCCACACCGATGCAACCCCATGCTGCTGACACCCACGTCCCACATGCCCTTCTGGCTGCCTTTGGCCCACTGCCCCGAGCACCCCCTTCCCGCCCACCCTCTGCCCCCCACCAGGCGGGTCGCTGCCTCGGCCTCCTGCCCCTGGGGCCAGTCTTCTGGTGCCGGGCACCTCCCTCAGGCCAGGCAGTCAGCAGGGCACCATGAGCTCAGGAAGCCCTTTGCCCAGAAGCCCCCTCCGGCTATGAGAAGACCCCTCACCTCCACCGCAGGGCTTGGAGCAGGGAGTCCACTTCTTGAGGGCCCACTCGTAGCCCACAGAGTCGTCCTCCAGGACGTTGTTGCCGTCCACGTTGAGCGAGTCCTCGTGGATCATGTACTTGTACGTCAGCGAGATCCGGGCGTCTCCCTGTGGGATGACCTGCGCCCGGAGATGGCCGTGAACGCGTCCACCCCACTGCCTACCCGCCCTCGGCAGCCAGGTTAGAAAACACGTGCCCCAGCCCACGTACGGCCGGTTCTCTTTCTGTGCCATCATTATGTTCTGGAAAGTGTCGGAAGGCTCTGAATTCGCCGATCCTGCGCCACGGCTTGCCGGGGAGCATGGGGCTAGGGTCCTGCCAACGTCTGGTCAGGGTACTTTCACTGTCATTACATAACCTTGTTTTACGTGTGTTTCTGTTCAAGGCCACCTTGGTTTATGTGGCTGACTCGCTCACGCCAACCTCACGGCCGCTGCACTGAAACTTGGGCCCCATGAAGCTCATCAAGCACGCTCTGCCGGGCACGCCACCCATGCGTGTGCTCAGCAACACCCAACAGCACTCGGCGCCCTGCTTGGGGCCCCCCCAAAGAGCGAAACTGTCCCCTCAGGTGGCATAAAACTGTGGAAAGCGCAGCCCCACTTGACAGGTTGACAGGACTGGACAAGGAGCAGAGCGGCCCCCGCTCCGGCTCTGCGGGGACGACTCCGATCTCTCGCTGCTCTGCCCGCGTGTGTGGGAACGGCCGTGGGAACGGCCAGCACTGATACGGGGGTTACACGCTCGCTTCGGCAAGCAGGTGCATTTGCCGGAATGGAAACGGCAGTCGCCGAGGCCCGACTGCACCTGCGCCCCCACTTGCAGGCCGCCGAGGGCACTCCTGGGGCGAAAAGTGCCCACAGGCGAGCTGAGCCGAGGAGCTAGAGGCCCAAGTAAAACATCTTACTTATGCAACTGAAATTAACTTTTCAAAAAGTGATTAGAAAATCAAGCCCCTGGGGCGCCTGGCGGGCTCTGTTGGCGGAGCGGGTGACTCTTGATCTCGGGGCCGTGAGTTCGAGGCCCACGTTGGGTGTAGAGATTACTTAAAAATAAAATCTTGGAAAAAAAAAAGAAAAGAAAATCAAGCCCCCTCTGAATTCTCATCACCAGGAGCGCGTCTTGGATGCAGGAGAGTTGGGGTCTAGCCCTGCTTAGGGACAAAGTCCAGTGTGACCTGGGTCTGGGAGTCTAACCTCCTGAACCCTGTCGGTCACTCCGGGGCATTGCAAGGCTTGGATGGGATGGCAGATGTGAGCAGACATGATGAAAGGTGGCCGTGAATGCCATTTGGAGGGGGAAACTGAAACCCTTAGAGGGGAGAGTTTGACTGAGGTCCCCCGGGGCCCAATGCAGAGCCCAGAGTCTCATGTCTCGAGGCTCCATGTCTGACAGAGACGGACACCCTTGGTCCAAAGGGCAGGCGAGGGGGGCTGTTCCAAGAGGGGCCTGAGGGATGCAGGGAGGCCCAGGGTCCCGAGGCACCCCCTCCATCTCCATACCAGGCAGGCCTGGCCCCTGCCTCCACTTACCAGCACAGTGATGGTGCCGTGAAGGGGGCCCATGGTCTGCAGCGTCTCCCGGCCATCCTCATCCCGGTACTCCCACTCCACACCCATAGCAATGAAGGATTTGGAATTGGGATCCACGTCATTCTCCTCATTTAAAATGAACTTGCCTGTCTCCAGGTTCTTGACGGCTGAGAACGGCAGAAGACAGCCCCCCCGGCCATGATCACTCAGGGGCAGGAGCTGGGCACACTGGGGAGAGAGGCCTGCAGGGTCCACAGGTCTGGACGGGTGAGGGGAGCGGTGGGGAGCCGATCCCCCTGTCTGCCCCGGCTGCCCTCTGCCAGGGGCCCATCCGTGCCAGTGATGGCCCAGATCGCCGTGGGCCCTTTCCTGAATCTGCCCCCACAGGCCCTGGGGGTGCAGGGGCTTCATGCAGTCGCTGTCAGGGTCACCTCCCTGCAGTCTACTCAGAGCCACTGTCCCCCGCACCCTGCCCCAGCCTCCTGGGTGCTGGGCATCTGCTGGACACCGGGGTGCAGGGCTGGGGTGAGGCTTCCTGCCATGGGGTGAGCATACGTCCCGCTGAAAAGCAAGGTCTCCTCACCCCAACCTGCTGCCCATGCATTCCCCACACATCCTCAGAGGCCTGGCTTGACCAGGGGGTGGCATGGGCCACAGGGAATACCCCAGGAGAAGCAGGTGTCTGGGAGCCAAGAACCAGCTGGTCAGGAAGCCCCACACTTCCCACAGTGTGGAAGGCAGCCACTGGGGGGCTGCTGGGTGATTTTAGGAGGGCCCCAGACAGGGATCACAGAAGGAGGAAATCGTTCCCTGCACGAGTCTCCTGTAGTTTTCTGTCCACCCCACAAAGAAAGCTTCAGCAGGGGCCTGCAGGCCCTCAACTGGCCACCAACCCTGGTTCCTCCTACGCAGAGAGATCAGGGCCTCAGACCCGGAGCCTGCAGCAGGAACGTGTTCACGTAGAAGTGTCTCTCCCTTCAGGAATCGACTTTTACATTTACCTTCCACTGAAGGCAAGTGGTACTGGTTTGCATTTTGGGTAGCAGTATAAAGTTTCCTCTTAAAACAAGGAAGACAGAAAAATGTGCATTAAACAGAGTGGGGTGTTCACTGTGTGTTGGTGGGGGTGCCAGACAAGTGGCACTTAGGGAGCCCCTGACCCAGTCCAGTCTCCAGGGCACCAGGAGGAAGGTGGGGCCCAAATTGGGAGAAGAGACTCGTCCGGGGTCTCCCCAGTGACCCCCAGCATCACTTTGGACTTCAGCCCACGACCACCCGGGAGGCGGGGCCCAGGTGCCTTCAGGGGGTGGGGGTGAGGACGGGTGAAGGCCTGCGAAGCGTCCCGGCAGTCTCGGAGGGCACGGCCCCACAGGCAGGCAGGGTCGCTCAGAGTTGTACGAACATCCACATTTGCAAGAGATGCCAGAAAGCCCTATTCCAGGTAGACTCTCTTGAGTTTAACCCTGCCTGCCTTCCAGTGGGTGGGGGGAGCCTTCCCCCTTGGCCTTGAGATGGAGGAGGGGGTAGGCAGTCACCATTCTGTGAGCTGGGGGTATGGCATGCTTTAGATACATGTCCCTCCCCAGTGGCTCCCAGAGGAGCCCTCTGACGCCAGCCCCCTGGCCTCTCCACCAGGAGGTGACCCCGGGGGCGGGGGGTGGAGCTTCGGCTGGGCCCCCCAGCCTGACCTCTGACCCCTGGGCTCTCTAGCCATCCCCAGAACCGCTGGGCTTCAGATACTCACCCAGGTGGTGGCTGGTGCTGTCTGCCTCCTGGATTAGCAGGTGTCTGGCTCCTGCCGGGATCTCAAACATCTTGATGTAACCTTTGTTGGGATGTGGGGAGACAAAGCCAGATGAGTCAGAAGAGGCCGCTGGAATGTGAACAACGCATGGAGGGGTCTCGCCCTCGAAGGCCATTCCAGAGGGCTCCATGTTTCATGGGCTTTGACCACCTGCCAGGACAAGGGCTGATGGGAAAGGTACTGTGTCCCAGCTGGCTGAAGCCCTTCTGCTCCTCTTCAAATCCGTTTTCCAAAAGTGGGCCTTTTCTGCTGGAAACTTGACGGGAATCCTCGGGAAGGCCCTGAAACCACGCCTGGGCTTGAAGCTAAGATGCCATATTCAGGAGGGAGGCCCTCAGCGAACCACTTGACCTCCTGGACCTCAGCCACTTCATCTGGGAACTAAAGACCCCTGGGCTCTCGTGGGACCATGGAAAGGGTCACCCCGCACCCTGGTGCCGGCTCGGAGTCATGGCCGTGGCCTTCTTCTAAGAGGCAAACCAAAGCGGCTTCTCCCCATTTCAGACAGAGGTGTGGTCACTGCAGGCCCACCCACAGGGCTGTCTTCCCAGATCTCAGGTTGGCCGGGGATCCCCGGTTCCCCAGCCCCATCGTGTGGCTCTGCAGTCTGCTAAGCAGCCCAGGGCGGTCCTGCTGAGGGCGGCAGGAGCTCAGACGCAGGGAGCAAGGGACCCAGAGGCCAGCTGGGCAGCTCTGGAAGGCAAGGGAGGGGTGCCCTATGCAGGCCCCAGCCCTCAAATAAAGACTGAGATCTGCCCTGTGCACTTGTATGTCGGCATTCTCTGCCCTGACCCCCGAGAGCTGGCTTCCCTGGTCCCCATCCACCCTGGAGCCAGGCTCAGGCTGTGCCTGACTTATGATCCTCCCTCCATGTCAGGGCCACCCCCCGCCCCGCCCCCCGCCATCCCGCCAGGTACAGCAGACATTCAGGCACCGGGGGCCGGAGGGAGGGGCTCACTCACCAAGCTTCTTGGGGGAGCGTGTGAATGTGCCCTTGACCACTTTGCAGTGGGTGTTGTCCCCTCCACACACGCCACACTTGTCCTCCTGCTTGCTGGAGCCGATCACTCCGTCACAGCCCACCTTCTGCGGGGGGACGGGGTGCAGTGTGTACTCAAGAGGGCTCCCCGCTTGAGCCCCCAGCCTGATCTGTGCCCCCAGGGCCCTGCCACCTGTCCCCGCGGCAGCTCAGGCCCGCGCCTCCCTTAGCAGTTCCTGATGCAGAGGAAGGAGACTGGGCTTTGGAGAAAGACAGACCCTGTGTGCCCAGCCACGGGCCAACCACTGCCGCTCCCTGCCCCTCCTCTGCTCACCTGCACAGCGTGACTTCACAGGGCTCCACACATTTTCACCGGGGCCACCTGCCGAGGCTGGCCTGGACCGGCGAGAGCTAGCCTCCGCACGCATGTCTCTGTCCCAGTGGCTGTGAATCAGACCTGGCCTCTGCCCTTCTCCTGGGGGGCCACGCAGTGCAGTCTGTCTGGGGCCCCCACCCAAAGCTCAGGCCCGCAGGCCGTAAGAACGCAATGCCCCCTTTAGTCTGTCTCCAGGGTGTCTTGCGCAGGAGGTGACAAGAGTTGGTGAGAACAACTGGGCCTCCATTCTTTCAAGAAATCCTCTCAGTATCACCCACTCATGTCAAAATTATTCCACACCGAGCAGGGACGCTCCCTTGCCCTGGGCCACCTGGCCAAAGTAGTAACCAGTTCAGGTTCTTCTACTTTCTATAGCTCTGGCAGCTCACCATTCCCGGGGCCTGGGAAACTCCTCGGAAGGAGCTCCTGCAGGACTATGGCCCTGAGCATGTCGCCTGAGGCCACTCTTCCTAGCTCAGCCAAGGAAGCCAGCCTGTCCTCTGAGCTGGTCAGCTCCCTCTGCCTGTCCCAGAGTGCACCAGAGCGTCACGGGTTTTCATTTTTGCCAAGGCTGCCAGGAAGCTCAGAGCTAATTTTCCCTTCAAGATCATCCCTACCACCTATCTCTGGAGAAACCCACTTCTCCCTCTGCTCTTCAATTTCTGACTTTTGTCTTATGAGGCCCTTTGAGGGCAGGGGCTCTGCACCATGAAAGGGCTACAGAGGAGTAGTTCCTGAATCATGTTTGAAGGTGTGGATAGATGTTGATGATCTCTGGTCTTACCCATCCACGTGTAATCATATGCCCTTTGAATCATTTTTGAAAGTGAGCAGGGTGAAAAACAATCACTGAAATGAACATGCTGATGTTTATTTTAATGATTCCTGAGGCAGGAGGGGAATAAGCCAAGGAAGACAACGTGATCTACCAGGGAAAAAAGAAGAGCAAAGGAAAACATAGGTCTTTAAAGGAGCAGAAGCCTGAGCCAAAGCACGCACCTGCCATTTCTAGGTGTGTGGTCTCGGGGGCACGCCGCTCGAACTCTGAGTTTGTTTCCATGCTTGTAACACGGTGTCAGAGCAGTCCAGCCTGTGGAGGCTGTTGCTGGGGGTGCAAGGAGATGGGCTTCGGAAACAGTCCCAGGCTCCCTTCCTCAGGGAAGGCTGGAGGTGATGCAGGGCGGGGTGGGGAGAACCCCCTTTTCAGGCCAAGGCAGTTACACTCCCTGGGAGAAGGGTTGCTCCAGCCTCTCACCTGAGGGGGATTCGTGCTCCGTTTCAGACAGAATAAACCAGAAGCAAAAAGCCTCAGGGCTACAGAGGCAGGTGGGAGCCAAGGCAGATGCCAGGGAGCGAAGCAGCATCCGGAAGGAGCTCTCCCAGATTCCGGGACTCCGAAGCCCAAGTCAGATCGTGCTCCTTAAGGGAGCCCCAGCTCTGATCTAGAAGCTCTTCACTGGTGCATGTGCTCTTCCTAAAAAGGCTTGCAGCCCATGTACGACCCAAAACACTAATTAGAAATTCAGCTGGAGGATACCTGGACAGACGGAAAACGAAGCAACAGGCTACATTTCAAGACACTTGTTCCAAAGGGGACTTTGTTCCCAGAGTTACAGAAGGTGCGAAAAAGGGAAAACAGAATAAATTAACTACTTGATCTGTCAACTCCAGAGATATTAAAATGGCCTGTCACCCTTTTTCCTTACTTCTCAGGCTTTTTTTTTTTTTTTGGTCTTTTGTTTTTCCTGAAATCAAGGTATGCCTAATAATCACAGCAGACAGGACCTTGCCTGCCCTTGAGAGGAGTGGTTTCGTCTGGGCAGCTGCTGGTTGGCTCATCGGGTGGCATGACCGCCAGGCGCAAGCAAGCACCGTCCCTGGCTCGGGGAGCCTCCAACCCTGGCGCGTGTCTAGGGGCCTTCAGGAGACACCGTTTGAACATTCAGTGGTCTGAACGAGGGGGAACATGCTCCTAAGATAAGACGTTAACTGAGTAGAAAAGGCTAATGAAGACCAGGGTCCTGGTGTGGGCCTGAAATCTCGCCTGCAGTCTTGTCGGGGTTGACGGCTCAGGCTGGGGAGGGCTTGTGTCCCCGAGGGGCTTTGCAGGGCTGCTGCCTGCTGAGGCCACAGCCAGAGAGGGCTGGAAGCTGGACCCTGCTGCGGTCCAAGCCGGGGTGGGCAACACTGGTGGAGGTGGTGGGCTCCCTGTCCCATGGGGAGGGATGCTGGCTTCTTTCAATCTCTGCCTTTCTCAGTGCAATTTTCGGGTGACATATTTGATAGCCCGCTATTCCTGTCTCAGGGCAGTGGACTATGTCCTTTATCCCGTCGGCCTCATTTAATTCTTTTTTTTTTTTTTTTAAGATTTCATTTATTTATTGGACAGAGAGACAGCGAGCGCAGGAACACAAGCAGGGGGAGCGGGAGAGGGAGAAGCAGGTTTCCCGCGGAGCAGGGAGCCCGATGTGGGGCTCGATCCCAGGACCCCGGGATCATGACCTGAGCCAAAGGCAGACGCTTAACGACTGAGCCACCCAGGCGCCCCAGCCTCATTTAATTCTTGATACTCTTTTCACTCCCTGCTCTGTGTGGGCAAGTGTACGCGTGCGTGCATCTCTAGTCTCCTGACACGCCTTCTGCTGTCATTTCCCTCTTCACCTTCCTGAGTCGTCGTGTTCTGATGTTCCCTCATCGACAGCGTCCACTTGGACGTGATTTTTGACCCAGCATGAGATACTTTTATGAGAAGGGCTGCACGTCCCCAGGCATTTGTGAGGACTCGGTACATCGTCTTACTACTGCTCATGTCTTCAGGGTGGTCCCAATCTCTCTGTCTCCTTTGCTTTAGAACTTCCGCAATATGATCACATATAAATGTAAATGTTTCTATTTTCCAACAGTGCAAAAAATCTCTCGTCCTGCTGTCGTTCCTTCAAAATCACATTAATGAAATGCTTCATCTGCTCTTCTTCGACTGTCAACGGTGGGCGTGAAGCTCGAGGCCCGAGGCGGTGAATGAGGGCTCTGGCTTCTCCATTATGTTTGCGACCGGTCAGATTTGCTGCTTAAAGCGACTTCTATTACGAAACATTGCCCGCGCTCACGGCTTGTGTTGGTCATGGTTCTAAAATTTTTCTGTGTCTTAGGATTTTTTTTAAGATTTTATTTTATTTGTTTTAGGGAGGCAGAGAACATGTGCATACGAGCAGGGGGAGGGGCAGAAGGAGAGACAGAATCCCAGGCAGACTCCTGGCGGAGTGACAGCCTAACACGGACTCAATCCCATGACCCCGAGACCATGAGCCGAGCTGAAACCGAGTCAGACGCTCAACCGAAGCTGCCACCCAGGCACCCTTGTATCTTATGATGTTTTGACATCTTGAACTTGCTGGGCAGGGACAGGCTGCCCCGCCCTCCCGCCCGCTCTTAGGGGTAGCAAAGGGCCGGCCTGGGAGCACGTTTCATATGTAAACCAACAATCCCCCCGTCACCCCCTTATCTGCCTCTCACGCACAAGCTGATACTTCTTCTGCCCTAAATTATCCCCAGGCCGGGTACCAGGACGCCAGGGGCCACCCCTCCAGCCCGGAGCCTGCCTGCATTGTTCGTACTTGCCTGTCTTCAACTGTTTCCTGTGCCCGGCCTGCCTTCCCCGAGGAAACCCCCATAAAAGCTCTGCCCCCCCACCCCTTTCTTTCCCCTCACCAAACCTGGTGCTTCCCCATGGGCCACTGCATAGCGAGGTGAGCCCTTCCCTCGGGAACCCTAATAACCCACTCTCTCTTCAATGGCAATGACCTCTCTGGGTCATCACTCGGTCACCCCCGTAAATTAAAAACCCCGCAGGAACAAAGGCGATGCTGCTGTCTCTGTTCCTCAGTATGTGGTTTCACCACCTGAGCGGACTGTGCAGTCTGGCCTCCCTGCGGGACTCAAGGGGAGCGGCTCCCCCTGGCCCCCGGCCGCTGAGACTGGAGGAGCCTCCTTTGCTGCGGGCCACCCTCCTCCGTGAGTGGACAGAACCCTGAGCGCGAGTCCAGCAGCCCCGCACCCCAGCTCCTCGCTCTCCTGGCCTCACTCTCTTTCTCCGGGGCACCTGCGGCAATCTGCCAGGCTTTCTGTCTGAGACCCCCTGAAGGTCTCATCTCCCAGAAAAACAAGACGGAAGCCAGCCTCTATGATCCTACAATCAGTTCTGCCTCCTCAGACTCTAGGGAGGCCTCCAGCTGTTTCTAGGGAGCCTGGCAGAGGGAGGCCTGTGCTCCCGTCATGATCATACGCCAAGGTTATCCCACCGCTGTTTCTTGTGACAGCCTGAGATTGAAGCCAACATGCAATAATGACGGAAAACACAGCAGGGCATTTCCACAAAGAGCCGAACCAACGAGACCCATGGTGGGCCGCCCTGATCGAGAACGAGCTGTCCAGGGCCCAGCGGAGTGCAAGGATGCGGCAGTGCTTCGCAGAGGGTTGCCTGTGAACCACGTGCAGCAGAATCACCCCAGAAGCACGTAAAATTCATGCTCCAGGCCTGGCCCAAGCTACGGAATCAGAACCTCTGAAGTGGGGCCTCAAACTCCCCGGGGGCCCCTAGACACACTCAAGTCTGAACACCCTTGGCACAGGGAGAGATCATGCCTGCCCCGCCCAACAGCCCCAGGAAGACACCTGCGATGTGGCCGCCCCCCCCCCCCCAGCACTCACCCTGCACTCCCCGCGCACGCAGAGGCTGAAGGCGTCCTTATAAGAGCAGCGCGTCCCATCATGCGCCATGCGCTTCATGGACACCACCTCCCCGGTCTCCTGGGACTCGCAGTAGAGGTGACATCTCTCCTTGGCTGGAAGGGAAGCAGCAGGGTGTTGGTGAGGAGGGCCAGCTCTGCTCGCTCTCTCCCCAGGTTTGCTCAAGAGAAGCACCAGGCAAGGGAGAAGCTCTCGCGAGACTCTTCTTGGGCTACACAGGCCTGCCCTGGGCCTGGGGCGGGAAGCGAAAGGGGGCAGGTGACTACAACCCCCCTGGGTGTGTCTGCCTTGGGGCCTTCGACCCCGGGCTACTGGGCTTAGGAAGAGCTTTTCCCAGCAGAGCCGGGCGGAAGTTGGCGCAGACCCCAGAGGCTCTGACGGCCTTTCCCTCCAGACCGCAGCCCCTCCCCGAGACGGGGACCCTGTGTGCCCATCACCCACTCCCAGAACTGCCTGGCTGGGTGCGCGGCAGGCTGCTGTAACACACGTGGGTGATGGAGAGAGCACAGCAGGCCTGTGTCTGCCGGGCCGCCCCTGCCCAGTGCCTGGAAGGAACGGGGACGGTCCGTTGAAAGTTCCGGGACTGGGCCCGTGGCCACGCCGGCCAGGGTGGGCTCTGCTGACAGCCCCAGCCTGCCCACAGCCCGGGCACTGCCGCTGAGCAGCCCCCCGCTCCGTCCCGGGGGCTCACCATCCCGCTGAGCAGCCCCCCGCTCCGTCCCGGGGGCTCACCATCCCG